TATATATTTTTAGGGAAGGGTCTACAGAATGTTCAGGGTTTCACTGCTAGATCAGACTTCTAGTGATCCACCTGTTTACAGCCTCCCAAAAGCTGGGATTACAGGTATGTGCCACCACACCCAGTCTCAATTGGGGCTCAGTGTGCTCCAGGGGACAAGGCCCGCATGGCAGGCCTAGGGATCAAACTCCCAGCCCCTGAGCCTGCTTGCAGGAGCTTTAATCAGCTGAGCTATTTGGCCAGCCCTGTTTTTTTCTAAAGACACCACTTAATTAACTTTGTTAATTAAGCTTAATTTAGTTTAATAAGAAAGCCATAAATTGGGAATTCTACTGTATTCCTGTAAACTCTGCAGTCTGAGAGGCTGAGGCAAAAAGATCATACATCTGACCCTGCCTGGGAAATTTAGTGAGATCTTGTCTCAAAATAAAAATAAATAAAAATGGCTGGGAATGTAGCTCAAGGCTGTGCGTCCAGTACCTAGTCCTGCAAAACAGTCCTGTCTTCAATAATTTTTTACAGTCTTCAAGAAACTAAGAACATTGTTTTGAAAGTGATTAGGGGCTGAGAAGATGGCTCAGTAGAATAAGTGCTTCCCTGGCAAGCACAAGAGCCTGAGTTCAATGCCCAGTTCCACCAAAAAAAAAAAAAAAGAAAGTGATTAAAACTACATCAGAGGGCTGTGGAGATAGCTTGGGAGTCTAAGCACCTGCCTGGTAAGTGCAAGGTCCCTAGTTTGATCCCTAGTAACACATGCCATGCCAGCCCCAGAGCTCTCCCTAGGCATGGTGGCGCATGCCTGTAATCCCAGTGTTGGGGAGGCCAAGACAGGAGGATCACTACAACTCCGAGGTGTGCAGTGAAACCCTATACCAAATAAATAAAAAAATAAAAAAAAAAACTGGATCAGTCAGGATTTCTTGGCATACTTTAATTTAGCTCAATTTACAAATGTAGCTGTTGAATAATAAAACAGACAGCATTAAGGAGACTGACATTCCTGCACAGAGAGCAATTCAAATATTTTCTGCATTACAATCTTGCATTTTTAGGGTCAGGAGATAGCTCAACGGACTAGGCGCCTGCAAGCCGAACTGGGGTTCCATCCCTGGCACCACATGCCTCACCAGCCTCACCCCCGGGTGCACTGAGCCATTCACTGAGTCTGGACATGGTGGCACAATCCCAGCGCTAGGGAAGGTGAAAACAGTAGGATCACTACGAGTCTGAGCTGCATAGTGAGACCCTGTACCTAATACATAAAATTTAAAAATATAAATAAAGGGCTGGAGAGATGGCTCAGTGGTCTAAAGCACCTACTTGAAACAAGCTTGGCAAAGCACAGGGACCTCGGTTCGATCCCCAGCACCACATG